GCGAGGCCCCGCCGCGCCTTCCCGGGCGCAGACCCTCCGCGGGCATCCGAGCGCGGCGAGGTGTTGTGGGATCGCGGGCGGCGCCGGCGGGCTGCGCGGTCCTCGCGGAGCCCGGGGACAGGGGCTGGACCCCGAGGTGCATCGAGCCTCTGGGCGGCAGGTAAGAGATCGGGGAGCCGGGGAAGAAGAGGCGCCGCTGTGACAGGGGCGCTCGCCTCCGACGCCCCGGCTCCGGCGAGAGGGGCGGGGGCGAGCGGGGAGACAGCGAAGTGCCGCCGGGGTCCGAGGCTGGGGGAGGCTGGCGCCCGAGGTGGCGTGTGGGGTGGGTGCCTGCGGGTGGGTCTTGGGTCGGTCACTGGAGATGTCATGGAATTTGGTGCCCGAGAGAATCTCCAGACGATGGGCACCTCGGGTGAGATGCGAGGCGGCTCGCTAAACGTGGCAGGGAAGGTGGTGCAGAACGAGTCACAAATGTGCCCCTCGAATGCAGCATAAAAGTAGTTGTGAAATATGCCAGGTAAGGCACCAGATGGGCTTGGCCTCTGTGGCGTTGAAATTCAGAGAAGTGTTATTAGCGTTATTAATAATTCCTCTGGGAAAGGAGGTGTAGTGTTGGAGGAGACTGCTAGGGCTCATTGCTCGGTATTCTATCCCAGGAAATCGAGAGAAGGAGCTGTGATCGGCTGTGTTTTTGAGATAGAGATGGCATTCACGTGAAAGCAAAAGGCAAATTGTGTCTGGTGTGAGATGGGAATGAAAAATAGGGCTAAAATAATTCCAGGTTTTGCCGTTAGCGTGGAGAGCACAGATGCAATTGTAACCTGCCTCCTCTTGCAGGTGTGGAGTGTTTAAAATGATTTTCACATAACATAAATAATGATAATTAACATTGGGAAGAAGGTTTGGTGTTTGGGGCGTTTTTCACTTTTCCCCTCTGCCCCTCTCCAGGTAAAGCAAAAGCGAAAACCAAACACAAAACCAATCCCCCCCCCCCATCACATCTTGACCATAATTGTGAGTACAAGATCTAATAGTACGCACAGGGGAATTTTTTCGTATGTGTGCCTTTCTTCATTTTTACACAGGTGGAAATATCTGGAATGAGGAAAACAAAACAATATGGTGAACAAAAGGAATAAATTTTCAGGCATTCTGAGGGGTTGGAGTCAAAAGCTGTTGCAATGGTTAATTATAGTAAATGGCAGTAGTGAAATATTCATGTCTGTTTTTGGTGTTGGGGTGACAAAATAGGGGAAAAATTGAATACAGTAAAATATGGCATAAAAAGCAACAACACGGATACTGTCATTGGGGTATTCCTTACAGCATTTCCCAGGTAGATCATCTTAGAATATGAGCACAAAGATGAAATATTAAAAATAGTCTCTCTCTCTATATATGAAATTGCCCACATGCTGCAAAACATTGTGACTTCCATTTAAGAAGAACATCTGTGTTTTGAGAGAATTGTCAGAACATAGCTGGAATTTCAGAAGTAACAAAAGACAGCTCAGCGAGCTATTTAATTTAACTTACATGTATACATACAGGAAGTATAGGTATTGCAAAACAAGCAGGGGTGTCAGCATGCTGGATGTGTTCATTAGGATATAGTTAATGTTGATGGGATTTTAGTATTTTATGTTATAGTCCTTGTGGAGGAATTGAATTATTTGCCTAAGTGTTCTTATAATAAGAATAGTAAGCAATTTATGCAGATAATCTGGAAATTCTTACTGATGGGCTTCCTCCTGGATCCAAATTCATCCACTGAGAGATCATTTGCCTCAGAAACAAAACTGCATTTCTCTTGGTGATTAATTGTGGGTTTTGGCTTTTCCTCTAGATGTGGTCCTCACCTGGAGGCTCTGGTGGGGCTAAGGCAGAGAGAGGAGGGTGCCAGAGGAGAATAAAGAGCAGTTCTGTTGGGTCTTCCTGTTTTGTTCTGACTGTAAGCCATACGTACTGCCACCCCCTACTGTCTGTAGGAAGAGGTGTTGCAGAGCCCCATTCTTTTCTTGTTATCACTGCCCCCTTGTGTAAGGGAAGAAATTGATAATTGCACTCCGGAAACCACTCTCGGGTTGTGCCACTAGTGCACTTATGTGGATTTATTAGGCAAGCAAATAATCACTTCAGAGGTGCAGGGCTTAAATGTACTGTTAATCAGATTTAATGTCTATTTCTAATAGTATCTAATTTTAGCCAATAACTCAAATTGCTGAGAGTGTTCCCGAAGGTGGCACGGTACCAGTTACGAGCTCCCCCTGACTTAGCCCCTACGCTGTGCAGGGCTGTCACCTGTGTAAATCTGGTCCAGTGCCTAAGGGGTATGCACAGTTATTTCCATTTTACAGATGGGAGGGTGAAACACACAGATAGTAAGTAATTTGTGCAGGATTATTTTGCTGGCAAGTAGAGGAGCTGAGTTTCAATTCAGGACCTCTGCCTCCACACTCTGCTCTTAGCTGGATATACCATGTTACCCTTGCAAGAAAATTAATGTTAGCCTGTATCTCTGTGCTGCCTGTGACCCTCATAAACACACCACAGGGGTGGGTAAACCCAAACAAGTATAAGACACATGATTGTTAAACCCCAAGTACACAGAAGATACATTTACTAGTAGTTTGAACACTTCTCCTCAGGCTTTTATTTTTGTATTTTATTTCTGGGGTTACAAGTGGAGGAGTATCAGTATTTTTTTATGTGGTCAAGGACATATTCCTGATGGAGTTTGGTTTTGGGGAGCAACTGTAGAAGTAAAAATTCCGGGTAATTTTTTCGGTGTGTGTATGTGTAATATGCAGTAAAAGTTTACTGTTTTTAGAGAGATTATGTATAGATCTGTATGTGTGTACGTGTGTATTTTTATCTCCTTAAGAGCACCAGTGAACCTTTACTGCTAATTTTCTTTGGAAAATTAAGGAGAAATTATCTATTTTTCCTATCTACTCACATTTCTGTGACCTCCATTTTACTCTTTTATTTATTTAAAATAACTAACAAAATTAACTGGATGCTTGTATACACTTCATCTTTTTTGCATCAGCACTGGAAGATCTGTTCTGTTTGCAAAAATTTTTCTCACACTTAAACATTTTTCAGATATTTACTACATATGAAATAATATCTATAAGTAGATGTAAAGTAGGAAGAATAAGGATGCAGGCAACACTCATGCACTTTTCACTGGTATAAGGAATGGAACAGTATCTCTTAAGTTGGTAACAAATATTTTCTTCTTTAGCCAAACTGTTTTGGCTGTTCCGTAAATCACTTGTTTCAAGTAATCAAACACATCCTTCATTGTTATATACATTGGTAGCTAAGTGAATTCAATACAATCTACTGATTATAACTACGACTAATTCCGGATGTATGTTTATATACATTTGTATATTTAATAACTTGTCGCAGACTCAACTCATGCTCTGTATTTGTATTGGTTGACAGTTCACTTGAATATATTTCATTTATAAAACCTAATTTGGTGTTTCCATCTGTATCATGAATAATGTTTTACTTTGTTAAACTTTAGTGTATTGTTTCCTTCTCCCATCAGTGATTTCTTCTCTGTATCCTGCTAGCTCTCCTTTTCCCCCTCCTCCATAAATGCCTTTGTACTTTCAGTATTTTCTGAATGATTCTGTGTGCATTATTTTGGATGGAATAGAAATTAAGGCAGAAAGGAGTATACTAAGTCAGAAAGGGACTATTAGGGTTGTTGATAACTGGGTGTAAGGTGGAACAAATATGCATAAAAGAAATGCATCAGTAGTATATGATATTAGCATATCATAATGTACATTGACTTGGATAGTACTTCATGTGTACTTAATATCTGCACAGAAAAAAGACTGAAAGAAAATAAAGCATACTATGGATTTATGTTAAAAAAAAAAGGAACACATCAAAATTCTCTGCTTATCATATTTCATCCTCTTAGAGCCTCTGAGACACAATATGGAATTGTACTTACACAGAATCACCAGTGTTATCTGGATTTTTTTTTACTGGTCCCAGATTTTATTTTAAGGAACTATAACAAGTTGTTGCAAATGGTTTAGTTTCTAGTACTATTCTGATCAAGATAACAACTGCTGTCAAATTGCATGGAAGTCACTTTAATTATTTGGATAGTTTTTTCTATGAATTGTGATAGCTGCTTAAGTACCTGTGGTCATCAATTATTATTACTTGGGGGAGGCACTGTATATACTGTATAAATAATTAGTTTTGTCATAATACCTTGTAAACCATCACTTGGTTTATTTGAATAGCATATTTTGTAGAAATTCAATTAGGTGAAAATTGGTTGAGATTAAGAAATGAGTTGAGGTTGCATACAGTGATAGGAGTACATATCCCTGATGATTCTCTGAAAATCCACAGAGAGAAGGAAGTTAAAAGAAGAGCTTAAGGCCCTCCCTGGTGGCGCAGCGGGTTAAAGCACTGCACTGAGAAGCTAAAGCCACTTCCGCATGAGCTCGATTCCCGCCTGCCCCGGAGGAGACCACATGGCGTGGCAGACCTCTCCTGACCCGCTCGCTGCTCCCCTCAGCAGTGTACTTCGTCGATCTGCCTGTTCTGCTCCCCACTCTGTCTCTGGTGAAGCCTCTCACCGCCCCTGAGCCTCTGGCCTGTACCCCAGTTCTGTATGTACAAATAAATAAATCTTTAAAAAAAAAAAAAAAAAGAAGAGCTTAAAGAGTTAAGGCTCTATTTCCCCACCCAGTGGTACTTTTTCTTCCCTTTCAAGGCTGTTTTACCTTGGACATTTAAGATTCAAAGCAATATTAGATGGAGAATGAGAAATTTGGGCTTGAGTTTAGAATGCTAAAGCATACTGAGTATATGCAGTAAGTGAAAAGTGTTTTTTATTGGGACCTTATTCCAGAAAGTTCTAATAAGTAACTATAATGCCGTAATTATTTCTGGAGGCAAATTTATTAGGTCAGTTTTTTATTCTTTAATTTATGTCAATAATTTATAAACTGTGTATAGATGAGCATAAGATGTTTTATGGGCTACCTATTACAAAGTATCTTGTTTATGTTCAGGTCCAAGTTTACCCTTGAAAGTTGAAGGCAAACCTGACTGAGTTGGTGTTAGTTTTAATCATGCCTTTGACCCTTTCCTTCCCCATATCAGTTTCTG